ATAAAAAAATTGTTAAGACATATACACTCTCTGTTATGGACTGAATGTTTGTGTCCCCCCCAGAATTCGTATGTTGAAGCCCTAATTCCCAATGTGATGGTATGAGGAGGCAGGGCCTTTGAGAGGTAATTAGGTTCAGATGAGGTCATGAAGGTGGAGCCCCCATGATGGGATTACTGTCCCTATAAAAAGAGACCTGAGCAATTGCTCTCTCTCTCCCTGCCACGTGAAGACACAGCCAAAAGCCATATGCAAGCCAGGAAGAGAGCCCTCACCAGGAAACAAATAGGCCTGCATCTTGATCTTGGCCTTCTCAGCCTCCAGAACTGTGAAATATAAATTTCTGTTGTTTAGGCGCTGGCACCGTGGCTTAGCGGTTAAGTGCGTGTGCTCTGCTGCTGGCGGCCGGGGGTGGGATCCCGGGCGTGCACCGCCGCACCGCTTCTCCGGCTATGCTGAGGCTGCGTCCCACATACAGCAACTAGAAGGATGTGCAGCTATGACATACAACTATCTACTGGGGCTTTGGGGGGAAAAAAATAAATAAATAAAATTATTTAAAAAAAAATAATAAAATAAAATAAATTTCTGTTGTTTAAACCACCCAGTCTATGGTATTTTGTTATAGCAGCCCAAGCTGACTAAGAGACACAAGCTTCCCATTGTCTTCAGAATAAAGACCAAAATCTTAAACATGCCTTACAAAGGCTCTGCATGGTCTGGTCTCTACCTACGTCTCTAGCCTCATCTTCCATTGCTCTCCTCGTCACTCTGCCTTTCAACTGCATAGGTCTCCTTTCAGTTTGGGGTCTCCATCATGCTCCCTCTCACCAAAAGGCTTTTGTACATGCTATTCCCTCTAACTGGAAAAAACACACAGCCCTGCTCATCCCGCACCACTACCTTCACCTAATTTAACTCTCACCTTCAAGTCTCAGCTAAATATCACTTCCTCAGTAAACATTTCTACTACTACAGTGACCACATGTCCCAACTTGCCTAGGATAGTCTCAGTTTATACCTGTTTTTCTCAGCCTAATTATTGCTCTCCCTTTCGCTCTCAAAAGCATCCCAGGGCCGGCCCTGTGGCTTAGCGGTTAAGTGCGCATGCTCCGATGCTGGCGGCCCGGGTTCGGATCCCGGGCGCGCACGGACACACCACTTCTCTGGCCATGCTGAGGTCGCGTCCCACATGCAGCAACTAGAAGGATGTGCAGCTTTGACATACAACTATCTACTGGGGCTTGGGGGGGGGGGCGAATCAAAAGCGTCCCAGTTTAGATGATAAATTACATGGTCACTCTATCTGTGAGGAAGTGCCACCACCACGTGGGTCAGTTGCCCCTGTTATGTGTTCTCATAGCTCTTTCCACCTTGCCTTCATTGCACTGAAGTTTATTACTTATTCATTATTTGCCAAGATTAATATCTTTATTCCTTATTAGCTTAGATGAACTTTGGTTGCTGCCACTGTCTCTTTTTTCATTCATTCATGATTGTGTTCTCAATCTCTCTCACACAGAATCACATATTATGTGCCTGGCACACAGTGAGCACTCATATTTGCTGAATGGATGAATCTCTGTGTCTGACAGGCTAATCTTTCGAAATACTCTGTACTCCCTCCACCCTCCAACCCACTTTCAAGGTGCAAGCTTGGCATTTGTTCTCCTCAATCCTGAGCTCCATAAGGTGATTATGCTGGAAGAGGAGGGGAGAGGGGAAGATGAGGGAGAGCGCCAGGGCCTCTGAGCTCCCAGGCCTAGGAAGCACACAGGTTGGAAGTTTCCATAAGCAGTGGGGACCTGTGGCTGGCCCCCCTTGTGGGAACCTCAGTGCCCTGCAGGACCTGACGGGAAGGTTGGGAGTTCCATGGTGAACATCAGGGCTCCTCTACAAGCCATGTTGCCTGCCACTGGCTTTCAGGTAACAAGTGACCTCTCATAACCAGGACAGACTAGAGACCAGAAGGGCCTCCCCTCTCTCCTCTCCAGAACCAAGGGTCCTCAAATAAGGGCCTACGTCTTATTCATCTCTGTATCCAAAGGCTCACAGCAGGTTCTCCGAGTCTGTTGAATGTAATTGGAATAAGAACAACATGAAGCTTCAACTCAAGTCTAGTCCAGCTCCCTGAGGTGGGCAAGAGCTCCACCTACTGGCCTCTTGAGTAACTGCAGACAGCTTAAGCAGAACTGGCCTCTTGAGTAACTGCAGACAGCTTAAGCAGGTTCTGCAGGGAGCAGGGGATAACTCATCCGTCAGTAGGAGTTCTGCTTTCATGGCAGCTGTATTAGCACCAGGAGCATTGCATTGGACTATCAATCGCCTGACATACTGAGGTGGACAAAATAAAGTACTAACGCCTCACATGGATACAAAAGGCCATTGCCATTGAACCCTCAGTCAGACTTAGCATTATCTTACCCCTACCTCCCCCTCACCCTCCATCAGATCCATCCTAAAGGCCCTCTTCTCCCCCTGGAAAATTTCCTCTTCCTTGCGTGGTATGTGCCTTCCTCACACCTGGCAAGCTGCTACTCTCCTCAGAATCCCGGGCCTATCCCCTTTGGAGTGCTACTCTGGCCCTTGAAGAGAGGACTCAGCACAGTGTACAGCACCATTCCTATGTCCAAGTTCCCCCCCATTACACTGAGGTCTCAGGGAGTTATATGGCTGGTACATTGTAGGCACTCAAACAATGTTAAATACAGGTGGATCAATTTTCAGACACAGACAGAGACGCGAGCTCTCATCTCAACGTGCCACTAAGTGGCAGTTTTATCAACATTAAGCAAATCATTTGCTACTCAGCTGTGTCCCCAGTGGTTCTCAACCAGGGGCAAATTTGCCTCCCAAGGGATATTTGGCAATATCTGGAGCATTTCTGGTTGTTCAAACTAGGGGATGCTACTGGCATCTAGTGAGCAGAGGCCAGGGATGCTGCTACACATGCTACAACGCACAGGACAGTCCTTCACAAAAAAAGAATTATCTGCCCCAAAATGGCAATGGTGTCGAGATTGAGAAACCCTGATCTAGTTAATACCTGCCTAACAGGGTTGGGTTGTAGTTAGGATATAACTTGTGAAGCATAAACCTGCAAAAGGATGTTGGAGTCTCCTGCCTCATGTCCATATGAGGTAGACTGCAGAGGGGCAGAAGCCCATCATGTGTGCACTTCACTGAACTTGTGGATTTCCGCAACAGTGCCAGAACCCGTCAATAATAGGTGGGAATTCCAGATCCCTCACCTAACTAACGTTTCTAAGAAAGAGGATCAATTCTGCATATATCACTGTTTGGCATCATGAACAAAGATGCTAAACAGACAAGTATCAAACAGCAAAAAACCCTTGCCTGGATATAACCATTAACTTTAAGATATGAGTCAAGTCTTTGTTGAAATGGCATGTTGCACATCACAAGGACACCAAGGAATGCCATTTCCAAAAATCTTTTTATTGTGCAAGTGGCAGTCATGGAGTGCTTACAATGTCCCAGGGATTGTGCTAGTGCTTTAGATAAATTCTCAGTCCTTATAACAGCCCTCTGGGGTAGTCAGATTTTCCAGATGAGATGAGAGAATACTCTCTCATTTTAAATGAGAAAGTAGGGCCGGCTCCGTGGCTTAGCGGTTAAGTGCGCGCGCTCCACTGCTGGCGGCCTGGGCCCGGATCCCGGGCGCGCACTGACGCACCGCTTCTCCGGCCATGCTGAGGCCATGTCCCACATACATCAACTAGAAGGATGTGCAGCTATGACATACAACTATCTACTGGGGCTTTGGGGGGAAAATAAATAAATAAATAAAATCTTTTAATAAATAAATAAATGAGACAGTAGAGTCAGAGAGATTAAGTAATCTTCCTAGTAAATGCTGTTAGACAACTTGCAAAACTGCCTCATTCGTGTAACACACGAGCTGCATATATGTAGCAGGCTCAGCTCTGCAAGGCCTAAGGGGAAAGGTCTGTTAAGTTAAAAAAGCAAACAAGACTGGGAAGGGTTATGTTTATAAAATGCGAAAGAAAAAACAAATAAGCCATAGCTTTAAACACTAAGCTTATAAATTATTCATCTGTTTTAAGGAGAAGAGTTAATGGATGTTAATGGATATTCCATTTTAAGATGAAAATACCTGCGGGCCAGCCCCCTGGCTTAGCAGTTAAGTGCACGCGCTCCACTCCACTACTGGCAGCCCGGGTTTGGATCCCGGGGGCCCACTGATGCACCGCTTCTCCAGCCATGCTGAGGTCGCATCCCACATACAGCAACTAGAAGGACCGGCAACTATGACATACGTCTACTGGGGCTTTGGGGGTAAAAAAAAAAAGGAGGAGGATTGGCAATAGATGTTAGCTCAGAGCCGGTCTTCCTCAGCAAAAAGAGGAGGATTAGCACGGATGTTAGCTCAGGGCTGATCTTCCTCAAAAAAAAAAAAAAAAAAAATGAAAATACCTGAGAAACAAATATTTGCAATCTATGATTAAGGCCTAATTTCTTTAATATACCAAGAACACCTATAAATTAAGAAAAAGATAAATAATCCAATTGAAATAGGGGACAGGGTTGGTCATGCTTCATAGAAAAGAAAATACAAATGACTAAATGTGTAAGAGAAATGCAAAATAAAACAAAGAAATGGATAAATAAAATGTGGTATATACATACAATGGAATACTATGCAGCTGTGAAAAAGAAAATCCTGTCACATGCTACAAGATGGATAAATCTTGAGAACATTGTGCTAAGTGGAATAAGCCAGTCTCAAAAGGACAAATACTGCATGATTCTACTCATATGAATTATCTAAAGTAGCCCAAATCATAGAAAGTAGAACGATGGTTGCCAAGGGTTGCGGGGAGGAAAAATTAGTGCTTAAAAGAGATAATTTCAGTTTTGCAAGATGAATAAATTCTAGAGATCTGTTGTACAATAATGTCAATACACTTAACACTACTGAACTGTAGACTTAAAAATGGTTAAGATAGGGGCAGGTCCCATGGCATAGTGGTTAAGTTTGTGCAGTCTATTTTGGCAGACCGGGGTTCGCAGGTTCAGATCCCGGGCATGGACCTGCACACTGCTCATCAGGTCATGCTGTGGTGGCGTCCCATATACAAAGTAGAGGAAGACTGACACACGTCAGCTCAGGGACAATCTTCCTCACAAAAAAAAAAAAAAGGTTAAGATGGTAAATGTAACGTGTTTTTTACCACAATTTAAAAAAAGTGAGACAGAGCATTTTCAATTATCCAAGTGGCAAAGATCAATTTAGTAAGTGTTGGCAAGAGGGCAAGCAAAGGAGCACTTTCATAAGTTGGTGCTGGAACTACAATGGCTTTGGAGGGCAATAACGAACAAAATGTTACATGCACATATACTTTGACTCCACAATCACTTTTAGAATACTTCCTATAAAAATATCCAGAAATACTCAAAGTCTTATGTATAAGAATATCCACTGTGGCACTATTTGCATTAGTGGCACTAATATCCACTGTGGCACAGTATTCGTAATAGCAAACTACTAAAACAACCTAAACATCTACCAATTTTAAAAAACTGGTGCTACTTCCATATAATGGAGTACCACACAGCCATTAAAAATGAGCAGCTGTGTTCTGTTATGAAATGAGCTCCAAAGTTATGAAACACTACATATAGCAAGCTACCCCATTTGTGTAAGGAAAAAGGTGAGAGGATGCACATAGCAGTACACACAGAGAAACTCTTTGGAAGGAGACACAAGAATCAAGTCCCAGGAAACAAAGCTGAGATGAAAACTTAATTTTCACTTTATACTATTTATACTATTAGATTTAACAAGCACATTTGAAAACGGAAGCATGAGAGGAGGAAAGAAAAAAATACCAATTAATTTCTTTTCAAATATTCTTAGATTAGTGGTTTTCAACTCTGGTTGCTCATCAGAATCACCTGGGAGCTTTAAAAAAATCCTAACACCCAGGCCCCACCAGAGAGCACCAGGGTCTGACTGAACGGGTCTGGGGATGCGCCCCTGGGTATCAGTGTTTTTAAAAGTTCCCCAGGGGCCCGCCCCGCGCCATAGCAGTTAAGTGCGTGCACTCTGCTGCTGGCAGCCCCGGTTCGGATCCCAGGCGCGCACTGATGCACCACTTGTCAGGCCATGCTGTGGCGGCCTCCCACATAAAGTGGAGGAAGATCGGCCCGGATGTTCGCTCAGGGCCAGTCTTCCTCAGCAAAAAGAGGATTGGCGTGGATGTTAGCTCAGGGCTGATCTTCGTCACAAAAAAAAAAAAGTTCCCCAGATGATTTTAATGTTCAGTCAGTGTTATGAAATCACTGATTTAGACCAGCGGCTAGCGAACTTTTTCTGTAAAGGACCAGAGAGTAAATATGGTAGGCTTTGTAGGCCACACAAAGTCTGTCACATATTCTTTTTTTTTTAAAGCCCTCTAAAAATGTAAAAACCATTCTTAGCTCCTAAGCAATACAAAAACAAGCCATGGGCAGAATCTGGCCCATTGGCCATTTTGCCAACCCCCAATTTAGACTACGCTCAGGCTGGACTCTTACCTGGAAAAGGCACCAAGAGACAAGGTACGGCCAAGAAGAGCCAGCAAGCTGCTGCCAAGAAGGCTCTGCAGTGAACTCACATGTCTGGACCCCATCCCTCTAACTGGCACCCAAATTGTTCCAATATGAGTAGGATGTGGGAGCGCTGTGGACTCACAATAAAACTCCCAAGACACATTATAAACCAGCCAGTTTATTATTTTGTAGTAAGATGTATAACTTTTACCATGCAGACTGAAATACCTATGTCAGCATGAACAGTGCATTTTCTTCCTAGAGGCAGTTACACAGAAAACCAGGTTATTATCAGGTTACTTGGTGAGTAAGCAATCCAAAAAGGGGAGGCTAATCGTAAGACCTACATCTCATCCATGAAGCTAAGGCCTACTTTCCCACCACAGGAACGGCCCAGCCTCCAGAGAGTTTGTTGACTCTTCCCTCCCCATCTTGCTCTGGCTGAGCACTGCCAACAGTCATCTACTACAGCTTTACAATCAGCCAGCTTGGCCCAGGAGTCCTATCTCTGCTGGCTGGTTTTTATTGTTACCTCCACTGTTACCGAAAGGTAAGGTTCTGAGGGGGCACAACAATTGCTCTCATTTACCAACTACAAGCCACAGTAATCCTGTTAGGATGCCTCCCAACCTCACTCTACTCAAGTTTTACCAGATAAAATGCTTTGCAAAGGTTCTTCCCATCTCCATTAGCACACACATAGGTTAGCTATAAATTCACCTGACTAATGTAACCTAATTCCTACTGAGGATTGAGGTTTTTCATTATAGTTGTTCTTTCACTTTCTTGATCAGTGATTTCCAACCATGTAGGAGTTAATGAAACTAATTTGTGTCACCACTGCTACCAAAACAGAAATACCAAGTGATATGTACTTTTCAGATTAAATTAACGTTACTTTGTTCTCTAAAATGTAAAAAATGAGAAGATGCAGTCCTCAATTTAGTACTCAACACTATTAAGGGTTAAGTCATCAAAAAGTCTTTGAACAATAGAAAAGTTTATGCTTTCAAATTAAAAAACAAAACATGTATTACAAATATTATGTAATAATGATAAAATTACAGAAAACAAATATTCACACTGACCCCACAGCATTCACACCACACCAAAATTTTGTCTGTAACAAAAAAGTAAATTTTATCCCAAAAAGTAGGTAAGTCCATGCTGGCTGAAAACTTCAGTCTGAGACCCCATGAATGAGGATGAACTACATACACAGTGCATGCTTAACAGACATATACATTAACCATTCTTAACTGCGCGTCACCAGGGCTCTGAGGGGTAGGAGGGATGAAATGTGGACATGTGCACTCACACATGCAGAATTCTTCACTTATAAAAATTCATACACATGTGACCTTTACTATGTCTTAGGCAATAGTTAAGATTTTATCTGTGGGAACCCACCTCTGAAAATCACAACAAAAATCAATAGGAAATTATTTAATATAAAATATACAAATTTCTCAGTATGAGGACTTCCACAGAACAGGGAGAAGGGGGACAATAACTAAAATGAATTTTTTTCTTAAAAAAGAACACTCCCTTACCTTGTCCTTGCTACTCAACACTCAAAACCAAATCCATACAAAACCACAAACACAGAAAAAGACCAGAGAGGATGTTACAATGCAAAGTCCTCGGACCTATTCTAAACTGCTGTCCTCACCAAGACCCTCCCCTAATAGAGCTGAGGGTTCCCAGGTTCACTGGGGAAAGTAAGGGGTCTCGGATCATCATCCCTGCTTCGCCACAGATGGCCCCAGGTCACTCGCTGTCAAACTTAATGGAATTGACCTGGACAGAGATGGAGCCTCCCCGGTAGCTGCCCCGCTTCTTCTTGGTTTTCTCATGCCGGAAGGATTTGCCTTTGGTGAACTTCAGAACCTGATTGGCTCGCTCCCCCCAGTCTCCAGCTGCACCTCGCTAGTAAAAAGAGAGAAGTGGTTAACACACAGAAGGACAACACCAGGGCCTTGTCACTTCCTTTCCCCTGCTCAGGCAACCTGAACCCAGAAAGCTTCCCACCAACATGAACCAAAAGCTGTGCTCTCTTCCACCCCACCCTCCTCAAGATTGGTAAACACCCTCTCCCCTCACCTTGGCATCAAAGGAGTTGTCTGCCACTCGAGCATCCACCTCAATTTCCTCCTCCCTGATCCTTCGGAATGGGGACGACGCCCTTTTTTCTCCCTGGAGAAGAATGAAGTAGGAAATTAAAGATGGAATCGTCATGTAACAGAAAAGCCCTCCTGAGCTATACACATGTGCACATGTACCAGGCCAGGCAGAGAGCTGTCAGGATGATCCCAGATATTTCTTTCTACTCTTTAAAGACTAGCTCCTGAGAAAATTAGACAACTTACTTTCTTCCTTTTTGGAAATGTATTGGGGGTCTGGAGCTTTATCTTCTTGGCTTGAGGAGTCTCTACCTCCTTGGAAGCTTCATTCTGCTTCCGCTTCTTTCCTGAACCTACAAAACAAAAAGCCAGACTCAGGAGACCAGTTTCCTCTTCCTCCTCCCAGGTTTTCACACAGGGCCTGCAACCAGAAGCCTAGCCATGGGACTCCTCCCCCCACCACCCTATCCCCCCAAGAGTATATCCCATCCTGATGTGGGAGGACAAACCCTGGGGACAGGTTCTTTGTATACAGACCTGGCTTAGAGACTGCCACTACCACCTTCTTCTTTTCCTCCTCCTCCTCGTTGCCGTCTGCTTTTCCATTCTGGGCAGTCAGCGCAGAGTTGCCACTGGTCTTGGGGGCTTGTGGTCTTGGAGTGCCCTTGCCCTTGGGCTTCTCCTCCTCCTCCTCACTGGAGTCATCAGAGGAAGAACTGCTGTTGCTCTCAGCCTTTGCTTTCTTTGTGGAGGCTGGCTTAGAAGGGACTATAGCTCCTGATGCCTTCTGTGGCTTCTTTTTAACTGGAGATTTAGATGTCTTCTGTTCCTCCTCCTCACTGCTGGAGCTGTCTGAATCAGAGCTGCTGTCCCCATCACCCTGAGAGGCCTGTTTGACAGGCAAAGATGGAGCTGCTTTGGCCGTCACCTTGGACTTAGAGGTGGCCACAGTCGTCTTTGTCTTCTCCTCCTCACTAGAACTGCTCTCCTCCTCACTGGAGCTGCTATCAGCCTTTCTGGTCAGAGGCTTTGGGCCACTGCCTGCAGGCTGCTTGGGAGTTGTGGCTAGTTTAGCTGCAGGCTGCTTGGGAGTGGCAGCTGGCTTACTTGAGGGACTCTTGGTGGTACTGGCTGGCTTTGCAGGAGCTTCATCCTCAGAACTGTCAGAGTCTAGACAGAGAGGATAGGATGAATAGCTCCCCAAAGCAGACTAAGGGGAGACCCTGGAGCTCCTACTGCCCTGAGGGCCTCCATATGCCTTACCCGAGCTGTCTGAAGAGCTCTCTGCTGCCTTCTTTGCTGGAGCTGGTTTAGTGGCTGCTTTAGAGATGACTGCCTTAGCTGGGGGTTTCTTTTCTTCCTCAGAACTTGAATCTGGAGAGAACCTATGGCATTAGGCTGGGTCCAGAGTCCCGACCCAACCAGCAGCAATAAAAAGAAGGATGCAAAGACCTATAGCGAGCCTTAGCCTGTCTTGCTTCAGTGAAAACCAAGAGAGAGAGAACGTTTTTGTCTTCCTTATTCCTCATACACTCCCTAGACCCACTCAGCACCAGTGATGACTCACCAGACTCATCGCTGCTCTCCTCACTGCTCTCCACAGCCTGTTTCTTCTCTGCAGCTTTCTTGGGAGCCTGGGTTCCCAAGGACTTCTTGGGTGAGGGAGCAGAAGGCGGGGGGACTGAACTATAGGGACCTGTTTAAAAGGGACAGTGTGGTGGTTTTAAAATATGTACACAAATTCTTTGATACCACTCCCTTCTAGAAATGGAGCTTAATTCCCCTTCCCTTGAGTGTGGGCTAGAATTAGTGACTCATTTCTAATAAATAGAATATGGCAGAGATGATGGCATGCCATTTCTGAGTAGGTCATAAAAGGCAATGCGGCTTTCTCCTTTCTCTGGGAAAAGCTAGTTGACATGTCAAGCAGCCCTGTGGAGAGCTCTATGTGGTGACTACAGAGGTCCTCCTGCAACTAGGCCCTGGTCACAGTCGTGCAGCTTGACTCCCCATGTACAGTCACCTGGTTTTTTCTTCATGGGTTTTTTCTGCTCCTCCTCCTCATCATCACTGGAGGAGTCCTCACTGCTGGAACTCTTTCGGGTAGGGGCAGCAGCTGCTTTCACTGGGGCCTTGGCCACAACTTGCTTTTTAGGTACAGTCTGCATCATCCAGAGAAAATTAGTTACCACAGGAAAATGTTGACCCAACCAATCCTACAGGAAATGGAGACCCTCCCCCGATGCCCCCGGCCCCTTCTTCCCTGGTAGCAGTTATGGCCCAGACCTTCTTGGAGATGGGTGCTGCCTTCTCCTCCTCTGAGTCATCACTACTACTGCTGCTGCTACTGCTGCTGCTGCTGCTGCTATTACCACTAACTGCTTTGCCATTGGCTACTTTCGGTGCTGCCCGAGCTGGTGTGCCTAAGATGACAAAAGAAATAGTGTAAGGGGTATCAAGGCATTAAAGAATCATAAAAACCTCCTTACTATTAGCTCAGAACTTAGGACTCTATCAATTCTCTTGCCTGTAGAGCAGGTTTGAAGGAGACTGCCATGGTTTACTGTATCAAAGGATGACTTTCCTGCCCAATTTCAGAAAGAAAACTATCTTTAAAAAAATGATATGATGGGGGCCAGCCCGGTGGCGCAAGCAGTTAAGTGTCCGCACTCCGCTGCAGCGGCCTGGGGTTCGCTGGTTCAGATCCCGGATGAACACCGACGCACTGCTTGGCAAGCCATGCTGTGGCGGCGTCCCATATAAAGTGGAGGAAGATGGGCACAGATGTTAGCCCAGGGCCAGTCTTCCTCAGCACAAGAAGAAGAGGATTGGCAGATGTTAGCATAGGGCTGATCTCCTCACACACACACAAAAAAATGATATGATGTAAATAATTTATATATGCCCCCTGAAGTCTTTTACTCCAACTTCTATTCAGAGAAGCTCCTATAAATCATAACCTAATCATCATAGGAAAATTACAAAAGAAAATAAAAATTCTCATTTGTCCCATGGAATGAAAGTACAGGAGAAAAAATGGTAGTGAAAAGGACAAAGAATAGAGGTATAAGCGGTCACAGAAGAATGGGATTTGTGGGAATACAAAATGTCTATGAAATGCCAAACTAAAAAATGCCAAACCGATACCATTTGTTAAAACACATTTTTCCCTTGCTGAAGACTGTCTAGTTACTAGTCCCTAATTATGAAATCTTTTACTTATTAATTAAAAACTTTTTAAAAAAAAGACACTAATCAACATCTCTAGTTCAACTAGGGGTGCCATTTCACCTCTGTGCTGAATGAGCAATTTTACTACCAGTCTCCAGAGCTACCTAGTCCCCAGCTCAGCCTCTTGCGAACAGAAACAGTACCTGGTTTGGCTGGGGCTTTAGCCTGAGTTTTAGCTGCCACAGGTGTCGTCTTTGGCTTCTGGTTCTTTGGTGCCTCATCCTCTGAGCTTGAGTCAGAGTCAGAATCAGAATCAGAGCTCTTGGCCTTCTTAGGAGGAGCTTTAACTGCCTTCGCTTGGGGCTTAACTCCCTTCTGTGAGAAAACACACAACGAGGAGAATAAGCAAGAGCTTCTGGGTATCCAAAGGGCATCCTAAGGCAGAAAGCTTCCTAGGTTCCTTTTATTTTTTAGGGGCTAACGGAGTAGTAAGCCTGCCCTGGTGGTCTAGCAGTTAAGATTTGAAGCTCTCACCACCACAGCCTGGGTTCGTTTCCCAGTCAGTCACGGAACCATACCATGTATCTCTCAGTTGTCATACTGTGGCAGCCGTGTGTTGCTGTGATGCTGGAAGCTATCCCACTGGTATTTCATTTTTTTTTTGCCCCCACTGGTATTTCAAATACCTGCAGGGTCACCCATGGTGAACAGGTTTCAGCGGAGATTCCAGAATAGAAGAAGGACCTAGCCACCCACTTCCAAAAAAATTAGCCATGAAAATCCTACGAATAGAAGCAGACCAGTGTCTGATACAGCTCCGGAAAGCGAGAAGATGGCGCAAAAAGACTGGGCAGGGTTCCGCTCTGCTGTACACAGGGTTGCTAGGAGTCGGAATCAACTCCATGGTACTAACAACAAAATGGAGCAGTGACAGCAAGGGAAAGCTAAGCAGGACAGCATATGGAAAGGGTAACAAACTCTTAATAAGAAATAAAAAGTTCATGTGGCCGGACCTGTGGCTTAGCGGTTAAGTGCGCACACTCCGCTGCTGGCGGCCCGGGGTTCGGATCCCAGGCGTGCACCAACGCACCGCTTCTCCGGCCATGCTGAGGCCGCGTCCCACATACAGCAACTAGAAGGATGTGCAACTATGACATACAACTATCTACCGGGGCTTTGGGGGAAAAAAAATAAACAAAATTATTAAAAAAAAAAAAAGAAAGAAAGAAAGAAAAAGTTCAGCCACTTTATATATTGGCCTTGTCCCTGCTATTCCCTGCCTAGAGATCCCAACACCTATCTACAAAATACCGTCTTACTCTTGGAGTCCTAGACAGTGTCCCAGAGAAATACCAGGGAAGCAGGAGGGGTTGAATTTCCTCTAGATTCAAAGTTCAACTTCAACCTCATATATCTTTTCCAGACCTCATACTTCTATTGCTTCTTTTAGAGTCCCCAGATTTTCTTTCCCATAATCACCTGTTGTATACCCACTACCATCCCTTGGCCAGAAGCTAGAAGCCAAGATTTTAAGTTTTTTCTTTCTAATGCCTTAAGCAAACCCCTTTCCTTCCCAAAGCTGCAGACCTGGACAGGCTTTTTATTTTTGTCTTCCTCCTTATCATCATCACTGGATTCTTCACTGCTGCTGCTCTCTGACTCTTTGGATGCAGCCTTTCCGGGATGCTGAGGCAGACTGATCTGCTTGGCAGGTGCAGCTGAACAAAAGAACACGTCCCAGTAAGAATCAGCCATATGGTACAAGCAGACTACAAATCCTTTTCCTGAAACCACTAGCCCCCCCAACTCCCTGCCTGGCCTTACCAGCTTTCTTAGATGGAGGCCCTTGGGTTTCTTCCTCCTCACTGCTGTCCTCACTGCTGTCACTGGATGAGGTCTTTTTCTTAGCCTTCTTAGTCACTGGTCCATTTGCCTGTAACTTCCGCTTTGGGGCCTTGGTGGACCTGCTGAGGCAGATTAGGCTAACTTCTGGGAGATCAGGACCTCCCAAACCAAGGAACACAGCCCAGCCCATTTAGGGGGAGAAAACAGCCATAGTGGTACAGGGAAGGCTTACTTGAGCCAGAAGCTATAGATGTCCAAGAGGGAAGAGGCATTGGCGTCCTGCTGGGTCTGTAGCAGAAAAGAGAAAGAGCTGAGTAAAGAAATTTTATCCTGGTTATTGTAGGGGAGATTAGATTTTGTGTTATTCTCCCATTAAGAGTGACCTGTTTTATACCTGCTATATTTGGTATAAATGTTACATCATTGTAAGAGTTCTCCTACTTGCATAAATTAGGAGAAAAACATTCTCTTTACGTATTTCCCAATTTTTGGTATCAAAAACTTGAGCTATTCCTGTAGTTTCTGGCACCATCTATCCCCTGCCTACCAATCCTATTTATCAAAGCCTTTAAAAATGTGCATTCTCTTTACTCTAGCAATGTATTATCTAGGAATTTATCCTTACTCACACAACAAGGGCACAAACATTTATACCAAGAGGGTATGTTTGCTGCAATGTGGTTTATAATACCAAACCTTTGGAAACTAGCCTCCAAGAGAAGACTGGTAGAAAGTTATATTATGTATTCAGCACAGAATCGCATTCAGCTATTAACTACACTAACATAAATTATTTTATTATTTTTTTATTATATTTATTTATTTTTTTTTT